GGGAGGAAGAGAGAGATACAGAGACCCGGACAAACTTCTGACATTTATTTTATTTATTTTTTTTTAGAGAGATTTCTGCTATAGGGCTGGAGAGACAGAGACAGACAGAAAGTGAGAACCCGCCCCCCTCGGGGGGTGGCTATGTCACAATCTCTTCTCCTCCGTTCTTCTCTTGGGATTTTGGGCACACACACATGCACCTGGCACAGCTTTCCACTACATGGGAGTCTGACGTAACCATTACGCCCTCTGCTGGCCCCGCTGACATCTTACTTTTTAACCTGGGAGTGGTGAGTCTTCATGCTCTCTAAAGTAACCTGAAATCGGAAGCTAACCTCCCTTTCCCTAGTGAGCTGAGATGGAGTTTACTCACCTAACTTGGCTCCTTTTCGGAGAAGTGCAACCACTACAGATGTGTTTCGACAACCAATGGCTCTGTCCAAGGGGCGCATGCCGCTGTGGTCCACATGCTCGATCACCGCTCCTTTCTCCACCAGATACAGCACCTGCAGCGGGGAGAGCAGAGCCTGAGGGGCAGCTTCACGCAGGGGTGCTCCACTCGCCATCTCGGCCTCTGGACACCAGGGCGGAGGGGCTCAACTTCATTCCTCTTTAAATGCCACTGCCATTAGGAACCCTAGAATGGAAAGGAGATTGACACAAGAGAGAGAAGAAGAGCTGCAATCCACAGTTCATGCCTGCTCGGGAAAGTGGCCTTGCCCTCAGTGATGATGGGAGCAGGGGGCTCCCAGGAAGGTCCTGTCGTGCACACGAACCAGGTGGGCATGCGTGCACATGGCCAGGATCTGTCTCTGCCTCACCCATGTCCCAGGCTACAGACATGACAGTCCCATCTCTACCTGATTAGAAAGCAGCTTCTCCAGTGAGCTCCAGCACGCTGGCAGGTGACAGTGAAAGGCACTTGACACACGCAGAGCCACACAGCCCGCGTGCTGAAAGCAGGAAAGACGAGCAGCTGCGGACAGACAGACCTGCATAACTCACCGAGAGACCTGAAGAACACCAGGGCTGTACAGATGGCCAGTCTGAGACCCGAGCACTAGGACTGACTGGATGCCATGAAACAGCCATCGTGTGGACCGAACAAGGAATGGCAGGAGCAATCCACTCAAATGTCTCTATCTACTGGAAGAAAGGCCTGTAGCCAGTTAGGATTTTCACATGGGTCTGACAGGACAGACTTCCACCACCTATTCAAAATGCCACCAGAGGGGATATCTGGAACACAGAAAGAACTCTACAATCAATAAAAAAAACTTAAACTTAATTCTAAAAATGGGCGAAGACTTGAATAGACATTACTCCTAAGAAGATACATCAATGGCCAGCAACGATGTGAAAAGAAGCTTAAGATTCAGTAATCATTAGGGAAATGCAAATCGAAAACAGTGAGTTCTCAACTCAAACCCACTAAGATGACTACTAGAAAAAAGTAACCAAAAATAAGTGTTGGTGGGGATGTGGAAAAAACGGGACCCTTTAACTGTTGGGAGGAATGAAAAAATGGTACAACCACTGTGGAAAACAGTATGAAGGGTCCTCAAAAAAAAAAAAAAAAAAAAAAAGACAACGAAGAGCATGGACTTGGGGGTCCATGCTCGGGCTCACTCGCTCTGACCTTGCGAAGTCAGCCTTCCCCTTGGTCTGTGGTGCCTTGGTCTCATCTGTCAGAGGACGGCGTCATCATTCCCTGCTCACAGGGCTGCGGTGAGGGTTAGCTTAGATGGAAACTGCTTAGCATAGTTCCCGACTAGTAACTGCCTAATGTTAGCTGGCACCTGCCCCAACCAGTGTCACCGTTGGACGGCATCGCTACACGAGGCCAGGGCACACAGGCTGTATGTTTGCGGTCCTGGCTAACTGGGGGCTGAGGCAGGGCGCCACCAAGGTGAGACTCTACTGAGGACACCTGTCTCTCACCCTCCTCTTCCTCCAAGCTCTTGCTCTCATAAACAAAATAATGTTAGTAAGTAGCATTTTCCTTGCAGTCCCCTGCCCAGAACTGCTCTTAGTCAAAAGCCTCAGGTATCCAAGTGGAACGGCCAGACTCCAGGGCTTCTCTGCCCACACTCTGAATAGCATGCAATGCAACCAGCCAGGCAGAAGGGCTCTCCCCCTTCAGCACCCAGATGACCTTAAGTGAGCCCCATCCTGCCCCCTTGACATTTAGAAAAAAAAACATGAAAGCAAAGCATTAATGGGACAAAGAAATGTGGTATTACCTGTTGAAGATATTTTATAGTTTTAAAAACTGGACTAGGGAGAAATGTTCACATACTGAAATATTCACTTTGTAAGCTAAATAATGTGCTTGGATGTATAAAAGAAAATGAAATAAAGAAAAAAAAGAAAAAAAAAGTCACATGGCCTCTCCTTCGCAGAAACTGTGCTGGGGCAGCCCCTCCCCACCCAGCGACTGGCTTTACTCTGGCTGCTCCTGGTGGGATTTCAGAAGCCCAGATGCTCGGCCCCACCCTGACAGTCTGTCTAATCTCTTCTTGGGACTGATGGGACACCCCACAATTCTAGACTGTCCCTCAGCATTAGCCTCTGCTTTCCATCCATGCTCAGTAATATATGTGCTACTTAGACTTTCTGAATGGTGGCAATTAAGAGAGACA